GTGTGTGTGTGTGTGTGTGTGTGTGTGTGTGTTCAACAGCCATACATTCACATCCTGACAGGGTTCTGTGTACACTGTTGTCTGTGTCCTCTATCACCAGAACCCAGTGATCACAATTTAACCTATAATCTAGTGTTTCATTTTGCCCTCTGCTCCCTCTTCTCCCCTCCCTCCTCTGAGCTTCTAATTAATGTGACATTAATGAGTTGCATTGTTTACTTCAATGAAAGTATCATTGATTTATTGCCAAGGAACCGATCGTACCCTCTCCCACACACCACTACATGCTCTAATGCTCAAATGATGAAACTTTAAAGTTTACTTTGTTCACACATATTTTTAAATACCCTCTCATCTGTGTGTGTCTGCAGATTGCAAGGAAGCGACACAAAGTGATCAATACGTTTAAGAGTCCTCTGGGACAGACGAGGCCTCCGCCCCCTTTGAAACACATCACATTAATGCCGCTGTCTCAGATTCGAAGAGTGCTGGACCTGCAGGACACAGACGGTACAACTTGCACTCACTCAAACATTTATCCTGAGCAGTGTTTTAATTGAGGGACTTTCCCTCCATCAATGTATTAAATATGCATTTTTCAAACTTTTAAAAATGATGATGCTGCAGCTGAATCATGGTCAGTTTCATTACACCTCCTCCTCTTTATGGTTTTTGTTAACTTCCCATTGTATCTCAAAACAAAAAAACAGACTTCTCTCACTATAGTACAGGATTTCTTATTGTTCTGTCTTTATTTCTTTTCTTAATGTGGACATATGGGGGTCTTTTTCAGAACTGTGATTGTATTGTTTTTTTATTCATACGTTGTGCCAGTTTGTAGCCAAAAGTCTATTAAATGGGATTACAACGCAACGTAAAAAAGAACCAGTTTTATCAAAACAAGCTTTTGGCTGCAATTGAAGCAAAAGGGAAGAAAGCAGTGAGTAAGTCAATTTTATTTGTATAGCACTTTTTGCAGATAGATATCAAAGTGCTTCACAAGAAGCTAAAATAAAATAAATGCAAACATACAAAATAAGCATAAAAGCATACAATAGAGCAAGTTAATGCCACTAATACATTTAGCTAAAAGCTTGTCTCAACAACAGTCTGAAGCTGCTTCTTAAAGAAGAGTCAGCCTCACAGAGACTCAGGGGCTCTTGCTTAAATCTTAAATTTGGTTTTAGGAACCTTCAGGGGATTTTGGACAGAAAACCAAATAGTCAGTATGTTCTGAAGAAGAAGAATGAGGAGTCAACATTTCGGTTGTATATTGTTACCAGATGTTGCAGTAGTGTACCCGAAGATTAAAATAATCATATTTTGAGGTAATTTATCTCCATCAATAGCTCATTATTTTATACTGTGCATAACATAATCTATAATGCATTTTTACCTTTAGATAATCAAACAAGTGGTTGGAAAAAGCACTTCTGCAGAACTGCAGGTGTAGTGCAGTATGATCCACTGGCCTGCCCTGAACAGTCCAAAAGATAAAGCTGGAGAAGATGTCGCATAAACAAGTCATCATAGTAAAATATGGACCTCACGTGCTAATTATGTTTGGTAATGAGTTAGTTTGAGCAGTCACTTGTACATAATGGGATTTTTGGATTTCCTGATGGTACATTGTAAAAAAGGCAAAATAATTGTAAGGACACAATAAGTATATAGTATGTCTGACAATACTGTTCTCCACTCCTGCACAGTCAGGTTTTATTCTGCCTTTACTCCATTTAACTCCTTATAAGTTGGAAAATGGAGTGTTCTAAGTATATAATAGAGTTTTCTTTGTTCCTAAACTACACAATGTTGGCAGAACCTCTGAGAGGTAAGTAACTGCTGTTTGTAGATTTACTGCCTTTTATAATAAACAGCAGCCTTTTTTCTTATCTTCTATCACCGGTGACTCTATGAAGACTGTATGACTTTTAATACCATGTAATCTCTTATTGTCAGTTAGCAAAGTATCTCATAAACCAGTGGATGGATTGAATGAAACTCTCAGAAAAGAATTATTGGATTCACATCTACGACTAGTTTACTTGTGGAGTCACTGATTAAAATTATCTACCACTGTTAGATGACTGATACAGCTGTAATTTAGTCTTTTTTTATAATAGATCTCACTACCTATCATTGACCTCAAGGCATCATCTGACTGCTAACAGATCTTTCAGTACATTGATTGAAAACTTTGCTTTTAACTGCTGGTGACACTTTTTGTTCACAATATTTCTCAGGTACCATTAAATAGATTTTAATGAAACTCTCAGAAAGTGACCATGTCTACAGCTCATTAGCCTCTGGACTCTTCCTAATTTAAAACAAGTGGCAGGCCCCTTCAAATTTTCTTCTCAGGAATGTTAGTATTTTATTTTTTTATTGTCTAACTCACCTATTTTCCTCTTCTTTCTCTTGTCTGCTCCTCAGACTGTATAAATGCATTCGCCCTGGTGGTTCATCCTCCAACAGAACAGGAGAACTTGTTGTTCAGCTTCCAACTGACTGGAGAGGAAACTGTTAAAAGCACCTGGCTGCGTATGCTTTGTCGTCATGTTGCCAACACCATCTGCAGGGCTGATGCAGTGAGAATTCACACACACTCTCTCTTTCACACACACCCTCACACTCAAATTAAAGAAAATGGATGATTTGACATATCAATATGAAAAAAAGAACCTGTAATAACACTGTCATTCTCAGCATGTTTTATTTATTTAGCCATGCCCACCCCACTCCACCACCACAAAAAAGGACAATAAATTGTCCTCCCTACAAGCAAATTGATCCAGTCTTGCTTAAATTTCCTTTATCAGCCTGAAAGAAAAAAACAAATTTAACCCTGGTGGCTTTGTAGTTGGCTTATAGTTTATGGTTAGGGTAAAAATCAGGAAACCACAATATAAGTTTACATTATATACTGTGTCAGGTGTCTGTATATAAAGGGCAATTTACCATGAAAAGGAAGAAATATCTCAGATCTTCAGAATGAAAGATCTTTGTAAAAAGGGAGCCAAACTTGACTTATTTTTTTTTTGTACTAGTGTGACCATGTGGCACACTTGGGCTACCCTGTTGGAGAATAGTTAAGCTGATTTTTACTCAAAGAGAAATTAAGAAAAGTGCTCTCTGAGGTAGCTGAGAGATGTTTTTTTTCTTTCTTTTCAAGAGGACGTTTGGTAACCCTTTATAGTAACTACACATTATTTAGCCTTACTTAATCATGAATGCATGGTAAATTAAACTTGAAAACATCATTTGACATGTTTGTATTGACTGTGATTCCAGGTGAAAAGGAACTTATAGCCTTTCAGGGTTTTGTCTACATTAACAAATATTTAAAAAAAGCATACATATTGTGTATTCACACCAGCCAGGTTTAGTCCACTTTAATCAAACTCTAGTTTGTTTATCTAGAAAGTCTGGTTCATTTGGATAGGTGTGTGAATGTATAATTGACCTCTGATGCAGACCAAAAAGTTAACTCATCTGCCTGAAAACCCAGGTCTCGGTTCAGTTGAAGTAAACTCTGGTGTGGTTAGATTACATGTGTGAACGCCAAGCAGACCAGAGACCGCTCTACAAGCAGGAAGCAGACTATAACACAGGTCATTCTGAGTATTAACAGTAATAAAGTTCCTCATATCTTGTAAATATCTTGCTCAATGACTGTGTAAGGTGGACATCACTGCTGTGAAGTTGGATGTGATAGTACTCTGTGAACGCTGCCTCATACGGAGCCGTCTCGGCCGTCTTGTGTGGAAAACAACATTCTTCATGGTTCCGCCTCGTCTTCCACTCATGCTTACCTCATTGTTAAAGAGTGTTTGTTTGGCACATCTGCCAAAAACAAAAAAAGAAATCCTACAACCACTAAAATCTGACATCACTACATGTTTGTTTACATTTTGGGAAGAAGGAAGTTGAGCTCAGTGTTACCCCAGATTTATACGACATGCGACTCCGCTCCACTGCGCTGTGGTGCATTTGCACCCCAATTTATACAGCCTCCGCTCCGTTAGCTCCACTCAAGTGAGACACACAGAGGAGGAAGCATGTGCAGGAAGGAGATTGCACGATAAATCCAGTGATAAATCTGTCAGAGCAAAAAGAAATAATTCTATGAAACACAAACTCCAAACTTAGCTGAAAACATTGATACAAAGGCTTTTGATTTCTATGGTTGAAACTGTATCGCTGTCGTATTTTTGAAAATTCTGACTTCAAAATAAAATCTACTTGTATCGTGTGTGTACACATATGCTTCATGCTACTTGTTACCGTCTGCTTCCCAAACAGAACGATACATTCTGACAGCATTTGTGTAGAAATATCCTTGTATTTATTAATATAGCTGGGATTTCGACATTTTTCCAACAAATTATTCCGCCTTATGGTGTCTTATTCTGAAAATACAGATGTTGTGCTTGTTCCTTTTCCCGTTGGTGCGATGTGATCTCTGTTGATTGACTCCGGAGCAGCTCCAGCATCCGGCAAAAATAGGATCTGTTCTAATTTTGCCAGGTCGCCGTCAGCTCACCGCCGCCCTGCACAGCCGTGCGGAGCCAGTGTAAATACTCTCATTGTTTAGAATGGCTGAGTATTTGCTGCAGAGGTTGGACCGGAGCGGAGTGGAGACGCATGTAGTGTAAATTGGGGATTAGGCTTGGGTATCATGGCCAATTCTCTAGATCGATTCGATTTCGATTCATAAGGTTCTGAATCGATTAATCACGAATCGATTCAATTCGATTTGATCTGCTCTTGAGTAATGAAAATGGTTCAACTGTGTTGCAAACTACAATCTCACTATTTTTTCTCTTCACCATAAACAGCAGGTTTTAAGGTTTTAAATTAAACAGTTTAATCTTGAAAGAAAACTGTCACAAGTTTAAAAGGTTTTAAATCAAAAAGAAATGGCAGGTGACAGTGTTGTTGGATGCATTCATTTTTTAGAAATTAATAATTTTCTTGATAAATAAGATGTGATTGGAATAAGGTTGCAGGAGAAGGGGTGGGCTAATATAAATATACTTCTGCCCACTCCTATGAAAATTGTATATTTGTAATGTTTCTGTTAGCTTATGTTATGTTCAAAAAAATTATTAAAACTTGTTACTTTTACTTTACAACATTTTATCACTGTGAATTTCATTAAGATGTTTCTTAAAGTTTTAAAATGGTAATATTGGTAACAAATTAAACAATTTTGTTTCACACATTTATTCATGCTGTAGAGAACAGTTTCAGTCAGATGTTTACAAACCGTTTGGTTCGAGCGCCGAGCCATTCGTCAAACCCTGCTTTGTTTTCCTCTATCGCATAGGAGCGCAAATCTTTGCAAACAAAAGTCGCCATAGTCTCTGTTATCTTTAAGTTCTGCAGAGAGTCAGCTGATAATGTGAGTGATTCCTTAGTTTCATTTGTTTTGCTCTAGACAACTTGTTATCAAAAGCTAATGTTAGCACTGAACGTCAACCGCATGTAAACATACAGCAAGCCAGGAGTAACAAAATATAGGAACACGTTTCAGGCACGCGCACAAAACGCCATGGGCAAGAATCGATCTCATGCCCTCTGAATCGATTTACCCAGATATAAATGAAATTGATCCAAGATGGATTAAATCGATTTTTTTTTAACCCAGCCCTAGTCAGTGTCATCTTCAGAGGTTTTCATGTTGTTTCCTTCAGTGGTTCTTGGTGCAGTGCCATCAAAGGCGAGGGAGGGTTTAGTTTGGTTGGCAAAGTGCAGTGTGAATGTGAACTACACCAACTGAAAACATCCTGAAATACGACGTCAGCAAACAGTATGCCGGCTAGGGTTGGGCATAATCGTATCGTCTGCAATTAATTGCCAAAAAAACATTAAACGATTATTTTTTGGCACTTGACGATTAATACGATTAATGCCACCAGGCAGAGTGACTGGATAGTTCCCCGGTCAGTCCGCTCGGTGCTCCTCTCCACTTCAAATATGACGAATATTTAAACAAAAGTTCCGTAATTTATTTATCAACACAATTTAAATTTTGATGTACAGCCTGAAGTCTGTGATTTTGACACAGTTTGAAAAAGATTTTTAGGAAGAGCGAATCTTTCCCACTAAATTGGTCATGTGACCAGGACATAAGGGTATCCAGAGACTACAGGCGATTAATCGTCAAATTAATCGTAATCGTCTAAATACCATAATTAATCGTGATTAATTTTTTTGCCAATATCGCCCAACCCTAATGCCGGCCCATGTCCAGGAGACATTAGCATTCACATCAAGAATATTGGATTACAGAAGCAATGTTAGCTCCCAGCATCTGATGCATTTAGAATGACCATGGCCACTCGGATTTCTTGAGCATCTCATGGAACAGTGTGACCACATTAAGCACCCCTCACTTCACATTTCTGACGAGTCATAATAGTTGACACATTCCTCGAGGAGAAAAAGTTCTGCCTGGACCTTGTGATGAGAATAGGCTCTCAGAGCTACTAGGAGAACAAAGTTACATCATTTTGGTCAAAGAGAGACTATCTTTTCACTTCTCTGTGGAGCGTCGTCATTCTGGAGAAGCTTGGAGTAGAGCCACTGCTTCTTATTGAAAGGGCTCAGCTGAGTGGGTTTGGACCTCTGATTAAGATGCCACCTTCTGGAGGCTTTTCAGCCCTCACACTGGGAAGAGACCCCAGGGCAGACTAAAACACTCTGGCTCTGTGAATCGACCTTCAATAAGCAGGAAAACAAAGCTGGATGGATCTCTGCCTGAAGCAGTGATGTGGATGCAGAGGTTGAGCTATGTTCCACTTGCTGGGGATCGAAAAATTACAAAACAAAACCAAAGTCTGAAAAAACCGAGGTGCGAATGTTAATTTTGATTAATTTGCTTGAGTTATTTTTTATGTTCTTGTTAACACATTAAAATATGTAGCTGCCACTGTTTCATGAAAACTGTTAATTTAGCTTGTCAAAAATAAAGCCACTAACAATTAACTGAACAAAATATTAGCTCATAGTCAATTCCTATATTTAAACATTAGTGTGTGCGATTGATTTTCATATTTTTTTAATATATTTCCAATAACGTTCTGTTTTCATATGAATTTAGAAAATTTTTGCAAATGCGTCTAAATTGTTTGGATTAAAAACTTAAAAGGAGCAATGTTTCATTTGCTGTAATTAGTTGAGCAAGCAGCAGGGGTTGATGTTGTCTTCTGTCTGCCCGCCACCACAAAGCTGCATTTCTAATTCCTCTCCACCGGGTCAGTGCTGCAGTGTGAATACCAACGAGATGGAGCTGTGCTTGTTAAAAAGCCCTCTGCAGGGTGAGGGGCAGAGATAAATTTAAGACTGTGTGAATCCTACACATCCCATCTCACAGCGTTTTTTTCCCAACAAGAGCACAGTCTATCTGCACCAATTACATCCTTCAAGTTTAGATTTGATATTGGGTCTAAAGGTGTATTACGTTTTTTGTCTTGTAACCAGGAGGATCTCATTCAGTACACAGAGCCAGACTCTCTGCAGGTCAGCACTAAGGATATGGACAGCACACTGAGCAAAGCATCCAGAGCTCTCAAGAAGACATCAAAAAAGGTAACAGCAGGTTTATATAAGCACACATAATTACACTATTTGTGCAAACTAAACTGCAAACTGTTTTCAGAAGAGGCTGTACCTGAAAACGTATCATTTTACCACTTCGATCATTCAGGCTGTAGCATAGTGTGTTTTATACTTCTCAAAAACCTTCAAAAACAACTTTGTTTCAACATTGTTTAATGTTTTAAAACGTTGATTGTAAAAACTATTAAAACAAATTTAGTGTTCTAGCTCGAGCTGGCCGATATGACTGAACAATCATGATATAAGCATTTCATATCAGTAGATTTCAATAAGTATTAATTAGTTTAATTGTTTTATCTGTTTGAAATAAAGACCAGGGGGGAAAAAACAGGCTTATTAATCCTGCCAAACTGGTTATTTGATCTTTCCTCTTTTATCCACAATTTCCTCCCGAGCTGTTGCAACATTTGCTCCTTTCTCTCCACATCGTGTTTTTTTTCTTCTCTCAATTCTGAGGCACAGTGGTGAAACATGAAACTAGTACATGTTACTCAACAGGTTATTGCTAGTTTACCAGAGTGAGTGAGTTAGTTGATGCCACCATTCTTGCTTAGCCTGGTTGTGTGAGGTCAAACAGCTAAAATCTTTCCTTTGCCTATGGCTGTGTCCAAAACGACAGGCCGGGTCCTCCGGAGGACCCAGACTCCCCGGTCGCGGCGGGCCGGGTCCTTGGTAAACCGGGAAGACTGGAAAAAAAGAGGCGGTGAATTTGGACAGTCTAGCCTCCCCTCGTTACCCTGGCGTACGTCATGTCACCTAGCAACTGTGACGACGCTAAACAAGCAAACTTAAATGAAAACTAAAAAAATATCAATACAATAGCATTATTAATGTCACAAAACTTTTAAATTTACTTAAAGTTATCATTTGAAGAACTAATTGACCCGCTGTAGGTTCATGTTTATTTCGCGTTTTTTTATGATAAAAATAATATTTAAAAACATTTCTATACAAATGATAAAAGTATTAGAATTACAACCACTAATTTGTTAAAATTTTTAAATCACAATATTTTTATTTAAAACGTATTCTTTTCTCTCGCTTCGTCCGCCATTACTAGCCTAAACAAATCTCCGGTCGGGCCGCAATGCATTATGGGATACGCTGGGCCGGGAAGGATCCATCRGACCTGTCCTTCGATTCGGGCCAAAGGAAGGACGTATTTGTCGGCCRCATCGGAGAAGTCTTCGGTTTTGGACGGCCTTCGTCGCGGCGCTGTGACGTATGCGGCCGACAAATTCGGCCTTCGGAGGACCCGGCCTGCCGTTTTGGACACAGCATATGTCTCTCAGAATCCCAAGTGGTTCTGGACTGGAGTTCAGTGAAATTTTCAACATTCTATCATAAGTGTTTTCTATTTATATTGATCAAGTGTCTATCACAATATATATTATTGATTTATGTCCTAGCCCTAGTTCTAGCTGTCTGTGAAGGAATTCTTGTCAACTTCTGTCCTAAAGCTTTGAATTAAGATGTTGAGAAATGTCCAAGTTGTTGTGTTGGTCAAATCTTGAAACAAACCTTGTGTATGTTCTCACACAATATACCCAACACAAAAATAGGTACAACTCAATTTTACTAATATTGAACTAAAATTTAATGTGTTAAAACAACTACAATTCCATCATTTCTCACCACAAAATACTCTTATTATAAAACTTTGTCATGAAAAGGTGGTGGGTGATATGCATGCCTTCAAAAACTGCAAGACCTTGGATTTTGTTATTTCCGGAAGAAATAACCAAACCACTGGTTATAAAGGTGCTGTCGGCAGATACAAATAGCAAACACCCGTATAAATTTCATTTACAAATGTTTAAGATGGAGAGACTGAAAACTAAACAAGTTCAGCAAAATTGTGCTTTGACTCAAATAACAAGACTTGTTTTGAAAACAGGCTCATATTAAATATTTCCTTTTGTCTGTATTTGTGTGTTTTAGGTTACAAGAGCCTTTTCATTCAGTAAGACTCCGAAAAGAGTAATCCAGAGAGCTTTCTTGGCCAACAGCACTCCAGATGAGAAAAGCCAGAGGCTGAATTGTGAAAACCGAGTCTGCAGCAGCTCCACTTTGGCTGTAAGTCGTTTTATGAGTCCAGGGAAGTGATTAGTCTGTTACTGGAAAAATACTGTAAGCTTTGAAGATGGCATAAATCAACAAAAGCAAATTAAAATCATGTCTTTTTGTTTTTATTACATGTATTATGATGTAATTATTCACAAAGATGTAGCTCAGGATTGATTTTTGTCTGTTTACTGGCACGAGGGTGGGGTGGGGGGTGGGGGCAATTGCACCTGCTCAAAGATTAATTTGATTCAGGTTTTTATCATAAAGTCAAAGAAATCTAAACAAACAGCAACTAACTAAATGATCTGTTTCACAAAACCCAGATAGAGTTTTAATCCAGGATTTACTGGTTATCCTGCATTAACCCAACTTAAATTTCCATTCAAACAAGATTTTGGAAACTAAATGAACAATAAAGGAGTGGAAATGATGAGTACAGTGGCAGCAGATTCTGTGACAATGGATGTCCATGCATTACGTCATACATCTGACCTGCTTTCTTCAGCTTTACAACCGCTTGGTTTTTAGTCTTATTGTGTGGGTGTGACTGTTAGTATCTTTGAAAAAGGATGGTCGTGTTTCATCATGGTTCCAAAGGGTACAACATCATTAAGTATTGCACTTGTTGGCACCTTGAAATTTGGAAAATGGCAACATTTTCAGTTGCTGTATAACTGAATTCGGGGTCTTTGCAAGCACCAAGTTAATGTTTGAAAACCAGGACCTTATTTTGTTTTCATGACTCTATCCTAGGCTGTCCACAATATTTGTTGCCGTCTTACCGTCATCTTTGAACCCACCTTGGCAGCCGCTACCCCATTTATGTGACCCACTGGAGTGCGTTTTTAAAATAAAAAAGGCAAATTTAGCCCAATTTTTTTTAAAGTTTGCCAACATTTTGTAAACTCTCTCACAAATACAGACAACCAGTCACCAACAGTTGCAGTGCAGAAAGGTAGCCGTGGCAGCAATAAACAGTGGTTTCCCTCTTCTTCCAGATAGAAATATGTACACAGCTTAGTGTGGTTCTGGTGAACACTGTTTTTTCAATTACTTTTGTAGAAGCTGAAGCACATCTAAACACAGTCTCTCAAAGCAGATGATGCTGCTTGTAATTCTTGGTTGTGACTTTGTTTGTGCATGCCATAAACAGTCTGGGCACTGGACTTCCATTATTTCTTGTGTGTTTCTGATGTCACTAATACATTTTTGACATTTTAAAACAAATTAGTAATTAATGTCAAAAATTGCATTTATAACCCATACATTTAGTTTCAGGTGCCTAGTAGAGTAACTTGAAGTTGTACTTTTAAAGCTCTGTTTTGTTTTTTAAGCTAGAAAAAACTCAGGGTTTCCCGCAGCGCATTATAAGCCTCCGTGGAGCATGTGCTAAATTAGTAAAGCTACAAATCTAACATAATGACTTTGCAAAAACTCTGTCATAGTCATCTTAAATCTCTTTAGATTTCAACTTAGAAAAGTGGCAGCTGCAACTCGCTGGACCCACAGAAAAACACTCCTCCGTTGTCTATCTGTCTCAGCCTGCCGCAGGCAGCAGGACTCTCCTCTCTCCACTCACACAAGTAGCCCCTCCCTCCACTGAACATTAACCCTTTAGGACACAGATATCATAGCTTTACCTCCCAGAGCAGCAAAACACATTATTTTCAGTGATTGGTGAAAAGTCTCTTCTTATAGTTTTATTTTTTTTATTACATTACTGATATTTCACAAGGATTGGAGTTCTTCTGAGGTTTTACCAAGATGATTAGTACAAAGAGGATGTGATTTGAAGATGTTATAGTTCATAGTTTCTTTAAAAAATTTTAGTTGGTATTTAATAAAAAAAAAAACATTGTGTTGAAAATTACAAATGTGTTCATTTCTACAAAACTGTCAAATATATTTACAAAATACACAGAATTTCTATTGTGACTGATTAAGATGAGCAAAAACCAAATAGTGTTTTGTGTTTAAATATCAGTTTCATGCTATAAAAAATCCTCCATACATTCTGTCCTTGTTCCTAATAAGAGTCAGGGTGGGAGCTGGAGCCTGTCTCAGCAGCCTTTGGGTGAAAGCAGGGGACACCTGGACAGGTCTCCAGTCCATCACAGGAACACTTGGACTGGTCTCCAGTCCATCACAGAGACACAGAGACAAACAACTATTCACCCTTCCAGTCATGCTAGAGTCACACAGAGAGCTCCAGAATGTTTTAAAACCGAGAACTCTGAGATCTGAGTTGTAATCACTTATTAATACCATTTTATCTTATCAAACATTGTCCATTATTAATATTTTTTATGAGGAGTTTTTAACATTAAAATGCAATCAGGCAGACATACTGTATATACACGTATGCATTTATTATTACTGATACTATAATTAAAGGTGAGCTGAGTATATCAAACAAGTAGTCCCTCGCTAAATATTTTACAATAACACATAATTACATTACATTATGTCATATTTTCAAATTTCTTGTAAACCTTAACAATTTTTTTGGCTGTTGGTGGGCTGCCAAAGCGGCCCTACCACCGGGCTTAGCCAGTTTTCTGGGGAAAACCCTAAAACTGAATCACTCCTTGTCTATTTTATCAGTTCCCCTTGAGCAAATTGTTGTACAAGTTTTTTCACTTCTCAACACTTGTGTTCATTTAAACAAATTTTGAAAAGTGACAATAGTTATTTTATTGGCTTTAGAAGGCACGTCTGGCATTACTCTTTTAAAAATAATATCCACTCTTGGGGTTGTGTAGGTAAGGCTTTTTAAATCTTTGTATTAAAGCAGTCATTCTTTTTCTTTTACCCTTTTCTACTGATGACAGTGCGTAGTTTGTCCTGTGTGTTTAGCATGTCTGTTTTACAAGCTTTCATCACTGTATGACAGCTGCAGAACTAATGAGCACTGGATGAACCTTAAGATCAAACAAAAATCTATTCTGTATGCAGTTAGTTAAAGCTGTGATGTTTTGTATCTACATATAATGTCAGTAGTTGTATATTTTAGATAAAATGTTAGGTATTGGCAAACTGTTTAGTACAGCTAAGCTAGCACCTTATCTGAAGTATAAATTTAAGAACAAGGCTTACCCCAGCTCTCACAGCTCCGAAGACATCAATAAATCATTAACCACACTGATTGACTGGCCAGGCCATTGAACTGTATTCCCACCTCTGCAATGTTTTCAGTTTTTCTTTTCCCAGTAAAAAGTTTTATGGACAAAGATGAAGTTGGCTTTTTATTTATAGCTTCAGTTTCCATAGATATAAAAAGAAAGAAATTCTCATTTTCTGCTACAAATTGGAATCTAAATTTCACTCACACTTTGGCAGAGCCTTAATTCAATTCAGTTTATGTATATAGCACCAAGTCACAACATACGTTGTCTCAGATTACTGTACATAAAAAAGGACAATTTAAAGAAGAAACCAGCAGGCTGCGTTGAATCACTTCATCACAGTCTCCCATCCTGAGCAAACGGTGGAGAGGAAAAACTCCCTGCTAATCAGGAAGAAACCTCCAGCAGAACCAGGCTCAGGACAGGCAGCCATCTGCCTCGACCGGCTTGGTTGGGGGACAGGAAAGAGACACAGGAAAACACAGAAGAACTGGTCCAGGTGCACCTACTTCTGGAAAAGAGACAAAAAGGAAAAACATGTTGTTGATAAAAATAATTACAATAAACATGTAGAGAAGAGAGACTAAAGACAACAGCAGAGTGAGTAAATGTGCTCAGTTTGTGCTCCAGCAGTCTGTCTATAGCAGCAGAAATGAAGAATAATTCAGGAAACTTAAATCTATATGATTAATCAAAAAGGAAAGTCTTCAGTCTAATCTTAAAAGTAGACAGAGTCTCAGCCTCGTGGACAGAAACTGGAAGTTGGTTCCACAAGAGAGGAGCTTGATAACTGAAAGCTCTGCCTCCCATTCTACTTTTAGAAACTCGAACCACAAGTGAACCTGCAGTCTGAGAGTGAAGTTCTCTGTTAGGAAAGTATGGAACAATAAGATGTTTAATATATAATGGAGCTTGGTTGTTAAGAGCTTTTTATGTTAGGAGTAATATTTTAAATTATATTCTAAATTTGACAGGGAGCCAGTGGAGAGAAGCTAAAACTGGAGAAATATGATCTCTCCTTCCAAATCTCATTAAAACTCTAGCAGCAGCATTTTGGATTAACTGAAGACTTCTTAAAGAGTTTTTTGGATGCCCAGATAGTAAAGAATTACAGTAATCCAGTCTAGATGTGATAAAAGCATGAATCAGTTTTTCCGCGTCATTTTAAGAACATAATATTTCTAATTTTAGTGATATTACGCAGGTGGAAGAAGGCGGTCCTGGTAACATTTTTAATGTGGGGGTTAAAAGACATATCCTGATCAAAAATAACACCAAGGTTCTTTACAGTAGAACTGGAGGCCAGATTAATGCCATCCAGAGGAGGTGAAAGGCTGCAAAGGTGATCCCTAAAATGTTCAGGTCCAAAAACCATAACCTCTGTCTTATCTGAGTTTAGAAGCAGAAAGTTAAGAGTCATCCATGTTTTTATGTCTGTAAGACATGCTTGTAGTTTAACTGGTTGGATTCATCAGGTTTCATAGATAAATATAACAGAGCATCATCAGCATAACAATGTAAATTTATCCCATGCTGATTAATAATTTTACCTAATGGAAGCATAATAGTTCAAATATGTAGAGTGAATTTTCCTTTTTTGGCCATGCATGTAAACTTTAGGACTGGAATTGCATGTATTGAAGTTAATCTCTGTCAACAACTTTGTAAAATCTTCTGATTCAAGATATTGCAAGTGGCTGTTTTTCAAATATATTTTTTAACAGCAGAGATGTTTCTGCAGTCTTCAATTTTTGCTGCAGCCTTGTTACAGTGTAGGTGATCTAAAACAAAACCTGGAAGCCGGAAGTGACTCTGATGCCATCAGTCAAAAATTTTTGGTTGGGATATTCACTGCATGCTCAACTAATAAATTAGTTATACAAATCAGACTGACAATTAACAAAAACATTTAATGGTTTTATTACAGTGGCATCTGAAAGTGACAATGCGTTGCAAAAGTATACATCTTTTTTTGTTGTTGTTGACTTACAACCTGGAAATTTATTTGCATTTTTAATTTGTTTAAAGCCAAAAGTTCTAAAAAACCATTTTACATTTTTGAAATTAAATGGAGGAAGAAGAAAAAAAGAACGGGGAATGACATAACAGGATATAAAGCTCAAATATTCAATTTTGCATAATATCCACCACCCCACCCCACCCCAAGTGTTTCCAGGTCTGTCTTCATGGTCTTTATCTATCTGACTTCAGGGATTTTTGTCCATGATCAAATCTCTGTAGCTCCTTCAGACTGGTTGTGTGCTACTTGTGTTCAACAGTCTTTAAATCAAAACAGATTCTTGGTTGGACTGCGGTCTGGAGTATTCCAGCACATTCAGTTCTACGGGTTCTCCTTCCTGCTGGAAGGTGAACGTCTGTTGAAATATTGTCTTTGGAAAACTCAAACAGGTTTCCCTCAAGAAGTACTGTGTAATTTGAGCCATCCATTTTTAATTTAACATTGACGGGTTGCATTATAAATAAGCTGAACATTAGTGCTTATTGCTTAACTTGTACAAAACTTAAACTGTTTATGTGATCAATCCATTTCTGATTAATGGAAGATATCAACTGACAGTTTATCGAAGTAGCATTTGAAATTATTTTATTGGTCTTTTGTTCTTTCTGTGTGTGTGTGTGTGGGGGGGGGGGGGGGGGTCTTCTAGAGCTTTGTTCAGGATGATTATTATTTGAGTTATAATGGTTTTGCAAATCATATTAAAACATCTGCTCCATATGTCTTCCTCCTGTTTTGTGCTTCAGATGTCGCGCTCTTCCTCCACATTCAGTTTGAATGATTGTGCCAAAACCAGTGCTGCGGTGTATCGCTCGAACTCTCTGGACCAACCACCAGTCAAAACCAGGGCTCCTATGTTTATTTGTACACCCTGTATCCCGGCTAAATTCATTGCCCACAGCCCCTCCTCCCAGACCAACTCAGAATACACCAAGGATCTCAATCTAAACGATTGCCCTGTTGTTCAAGAATCCAAGTCCATTTCTCAAGTTCCATTCATGGGCCAACCTAATTTTGGTCTCTCCAGTCCTCAGAAAGGCACCTCTGTAGCCCATCTGACATCTACTTCCATTCAGAGGGTCCAAACTTCCATTCATTCCAAAAATTACCATCCAAAGTCAAGCCATGATGTGTCCAGACCAGTGTCTACTGTAGGTTTTCAAGTAAGACCCCCAGCCTCTCAGCAAATGAATGTGAAAACCAGTACACTTTCTGAGTCACGCAAGGATCTGCAAGTGCTTTTGGAGCCATGCAAGGCTGTCGTGAGCAGTCCTCGCAAAGAAACTCTAATCTAAACCATCGTCGAGTTCAGTTCTGGAGTCTCATGTGAGCAAACATAGCTGTTGTCTGGTCTCATCTAAGGGTGCACTAATGTCATTTCTACCTTTTAAAACGATATTCACTGCATTTTGTCTATTTTACATTAACTTTTTAACATCTAAACACGACTGGTGCATTTCTGGTCCCAAATCAACCCATTTAAAACTAAGATCCTGCAAGGACTGCAGATCAAAATAAGGATTCTCATAGTTTAAATAAGGTCTTCTGTCATGTTAAAAATGAGTTTATTCTAGTTGTAATGATCTGTTGAAAATGTAAAAAGGACAGAAGTTTTAAGGGTTGATTTGGAATAATGGTTCTGTTTAATTGACCTGGGTAGCATACTGGTGGTGGTGTTGGCTTGACATATTCACACGGTGGATGCTGATCATTGCTTGTCAATATGCAGTTTTCAAATGTATGTTGTTCTTATCTGACCATTTCAAAGCCAGAACAAGGCATTTTGACTTTTGAGCACCAGAATGAGGTAAAAGGCTATTTTGAAGTATGTTACCATAATTTAATTTTGTCCTTCTCTAACACCCATTTTCATCTAGTACTGACAAATGAAGATCATGTTAGAAGGCTGACTTTATCATCATAAATTAGGAACATTGTCTTTCAGTATAGCCCTTTTGCCTTCAACAACTTGATCTCCTGTTGACTGAGCCATCGCAGAACTTGCAGACTTCTGAAGAGAGACCTAAACCATTATATCTGTTTTAGGAGACAAGTGCATAGAAGTTGAGGTCAACAAAGCAGTCTGAAATGAGCAGATAAATCTGGAGGTTGCAGACAATCTGGCCTCCCACACTCAAACTTATTAGCAGTGCTGTGACAAATCAAAAAAAGTCAGACTACAGGATGATGACACAACAGCCAAAGCCACCTGCAGACGAGCTGCCCACAATCACACCCTCAGGTTTAGAAAAAAGCAACAAAACAAATATTGTCATGCAATAGTGTAGAGGTTTAACACTAGATATGACATTTTGTGAATGAATTATCCAGTTCAGCTTTAAAATAACCACAGAGGACTAAAAGCAATGTACAGAATACAGTATTAATCCAAATGTCAATAAAAGGGGTGCATATCCTGCTTTATTGAAAAACATATATATATATATATATATATATATATTTTCAAGGCTTTTCTGCTTACTTGTAGAAAGACTTCTCAGAGTCCATCAGTTTCGGACAGTGGCAGGATTTCAAAGCTGTGTGCATAGGTTATGATACTCAAATACCACGGGTAACCAACTGAGAGACTAAATTAACATGTTGCTATTTTGGGATGCTTACTCCCAGAAAGTTGTTCTTCTTTATGCTCAAAACATATTGCAAATTTTCTCAGTCAGTTTGGCATAACACAGAGTTCTGAGCTGTGCTTATCATCTATTTTCAATTATACACAACAGAACACGTTGTTGTTCCCCATTGTTTTCTGTAAGGCCAAAAGAACTGGTAAGATCTAGTTAGAACAACTGTTCTATCTAGCCACTCTTACTTCATGGCAATTAAAAACACATTGGGAATTTTAGAAGTAAATCATGCAAAACTCAATTGGATTTATTTTACAACAAAGATAACCTGTGATGATGAAACACTTTCAGAGAGCAAACAGTGCACAATGTACTTCTGGAAAGGTTATAAGTTGATGTTAAAAATGTTAAACATAATGTTTTATTAAATCTATAAAATCAGCTTGTTGCAGTAATCCAGTTAAGATCCAGATTTTAATCAAACTGAAATGCTGCAAGGGTTGTGAAAAAGCAAATTCCTGCAAACCCCAACAAACTAAAGCAACAATGTAAATGAGAGGAAACTGAGAACCTCAGCAAACATTTCAAGACGTTTTGGAGATTCATTGCGAATGCCATTTGCTAACTGGTCTAGTAAGATACTGCTTTAAGATTTTCTCACTGAGGCTTCTTGTCTCTCTGGACTCGGGGCTATTTTAACAAATAACACAACTAAATAAATCCATTTTTCTGAGCTCAGATAAATTTGAATATTTAAAATTGTTGGAGTTCACAACTTTCTTGTACTGCTTTTCATTCTTGTTTTTCTCTCTTTTGTTTGCAGGCCCATCATTCCCCCTCTATGGTCCATCTGCCATCCATGTTTGAGAGGAAGTACCACACATTTAGTCGCTCAAGCACCCATCTCTTCTAAAATACCACAACACGGTGGTGCCAGCAGTGTTGCCTTTTTTCCCTCTTTCTTTTTTATTGTCATCTTGGACTCGACTACCTCCAGCAACAAAATTAGATTTAGAAAATTTGTGTTGCAGAGACATATGACAAAACTGTTGTTGTCCATGCTGAAGCTCTTCACAAACTTTCCACACCCAGAGTCTGGCAGTACTTTGATGGAAAAGAAGATGGAAGGGACATGCTGATATTTGCCAGTGTCAGGATTGTTGAGCTTCCTGCAGAAAACATGGTCAAAGCTGGATGGAAACAATAAACCAGCTATGCACAATTTGTTTATCTAATATGTGTTTATGTTGCTTCCAAGTGCAATTTGAACTACACAGGTGCATTTTTCCAAACGTGGTTGACTCTTGGATGACTCTAATATTATCTAATACTGACCAGCTTGGCACTGTGCTGCAGATGTTTTATTCAGTGAATCTGGTGAGGTTCACCATATCTTTTTGTTTTAAATGAAGGATAGGCTTATGTTACTTTCAGTCATTGGCTTACTTTTGCAGACATTTGTTAAATCGACGTCAAGATCAGATTGATTGTGTGGTCCTGCTGTTCTGGTCTTGGACATTTAGTGATGTGTTGACTCTAACTGTAGAGGAAATTAGCTTTGTTGGTGTTTTCGTTTAGGTGAAGGTTTATTTAACTAATGATTAAACTCTGTTTTTACTAGCTAAAGTTACAGAGTTTAGTCACGTTTCTCCCTAATTTTTGTGGCTTGTTTTTAATCAGCTGTCTTCGACAGAATCATTTATATTTACTGACATAAGATATTATTTTATTTGTAGTAGGGCAGATATAATTTTACCTGAAGACTTCAGTTACTCTATATTTTTCAAGTAAATTTCTAATAGTTTCCAGCTTTTATAAAGCTCTTTTGTCTTTTGGTAAATTTGGTTGTGAAGAATAAAACTGCTCTTTCTTCATGTACACCTGTCCAAGTCTGCTGTTTGTGTTTGAGAAGGGTTTTGTATCCATGTCCAAAACGTTTTGTTTTGATGTCCATTCTGCTTCTATATCTTGTTCTTTTTAAAGCTTATTTTACTCTTTGTGTCACTAATTATATATTTTTTCATATTAAATGCACTTAAACATGGCTTGTTTTTACTGTATGTCTTTTATTACAGGACAAATCAATCTATAAAATACTGAAAATTTATTTTAGTTTCTTTACATGACACCTATTCACACTAAGTCATCCCAGTTCACTGACAAAATAAACCCAAAATGGATCCAGATTCAAATCTAATAATTACAGTAAGTTTGATATGAGAATGATACAAATGCATTCAATGAAATTAAAACTTAATAGATTAAAATAGATTTTTAATTAGATAGGGAGCCAATTGAGAGGAGCTAAAAGTGGAGAATTATGATCTGTCCTGGATTTATTTTGAATCCATCTATTTTATGTATCTGCTTTTTTATTTTAGTGCCATTGCAGTCAAAGGAGATATCCTGATCAAAAATAACACCAAGGTTCTTTATACAGTATTAGAACTGGGGGCTAAATTTATGCCACCCAGAGTAAGTGAAAGGCTGCAGAGTTTATCCGATGTTCAGGTCCAAAAATTATAACTGGTTCATCCATGTTTTCATGTCTCTAAGGCATGCACTGACAGTATTTGTCAGGTTACGTGGATAAAGATGAGTATCATCAGCATAATAAAAAACTAATCCTGCGCTGTCCTATAATGAAAAAGTAATATAGGATTGTTCGTTCCAAGTACTGAACCCTGAGGATCTCCATGACTGACTTTGGTGTATCTTTAATATTCATTATTTAACATGAACAATGAACAAACTGAAATCTATCACATAAACAGGATTTAAATGGGAGGACATTGATGATGGTGGTGGGG